CACACCACCACGGAGGAGGTGAGGGACAAGCACAAGATTGAATGGACTGCCGATGTGGACGGTTCCACGGAGGCTTATTCCATCGCAGTTGCTACTGTTTTGACCACTTGAAGCCCTAAGCCCTATGACCCTAAATCAACCTTGAGTCAGGCAGGCCGCGAGTTGCTCAATGTGGATACCTTCAACCACTTGGGTGATGTGCGGTTGGCTTTGCCCTGGAGAGTCCCGGCAGCCGTCACCGCTAACGGAGAGCCTGGATGCTTGGGACTCCCCCCGGCTGGTTCCGAAGCTGGCACAGCGGCCTTGGAGGATGGCAAACCCTTGCCCTTCAAAAAGGAGAAGCAGCCAAAGAAGGAGAAAGAGTTGCATGGCTGCAAAACCAAGCAACTAAGTTCTCATGCATCGCTTTGAAGTTTTTGGTGTGTCCAAGGCCTATGCCGGAGGATCCGATTGAGGCTCTGGGTTGGGTGCTTCCGGAGTTGCACAAAAGGATTTCGCAGGCAAGCCTGCTTCCCGTGAAGTTGGTGGGTGAGTACTTCGACAAGCTCCGACTCTATGCTGCAGTTTCGTGTGATGGTTCAGCTTTTCAACCTTCTGCTTTTGTGTGCATATAATAGGACAATCAATTCAGTTTCTTGCATGCAACGCATCTGAGGCGAAAAGCTTCTTGTACACCACGAGGAGCTCAAGAAATCTGCTCTGGATATCCAGAAGCTGCAGAAGGAGGACAGTTTGTGTGAATGTAAACGGCAGTTGTTTTTGTGCATGTTTTTGCTGTCATAGGAGAGAAGTCTCGATGTGGAGACTCGGGCGGCCGCACACTTGCGGTTGGCCATCCAGCGGATGAATATGTACTCCGAGGATGCCAAGATTGCTTCCGGAGCGGTGCAAAAGCCCGCCAAGGCCAAGAAGAGCGAGGCCGGTGATGTGGATTGGTTGTGGATGCTTTCAATCCTGTGCTAAATTGATCTCTCTGAGCTTTTCGTTTATTCCTCAGGCCTGAGATCCCGAGGGCGACCGATCTTTCTGATCTGGGGTGAGAAGCGAGAAGTGTTTTACTTTCAGGGTGTTTCAATCGCTCGTGCTTGCAAGAGCCATGTGGCATGCAGCTGGATATATTTCAGCTAGATAGCCAAAACTCTGCACGCATGAAGGTGTGATGCAATGCATGCATGCACATGGCAGTGGTTACGGCCAGTACACGCAGCTGTTGACTGGCAAATTGGGCTTGCAAAAGCAAGCCTGTGGTGGACCACGAGGATCCCTGTCGCCAGCAGAGAAAGGTCCGCTCACGCAGAGGATGCAACTTCATGGTGGCTCCGATGCATTGTGTTTCCTGTGGTCTCTGTCAGGGGCTGCTGCTCCTGGTGATTTTGATGACAATGTCGATGCTGCTTTGCTGATTCAGAGCTTGTTCATGTCTGTCGGTGTGCATGCATGCATACCCTCGCCCAGGATCCTACGCAACGAAATCCAGCTGCTGATTTTCGTGAAGTTGTTGTGCTCATGTTGCATTAACATGTAT